CGGCCTGGGCTGCGGCGGGGCAGCCGACTGAGCTCAGGTGGGCCACGAGCCGCGCGGCCAGCCAACTGACGGCGGCAGCCTGCTCTTCCTTGCAGCCGCTGTCGCCGCCGGCGCGGCTGCGGTGCACCTTGTCCGCTGCGACCATCAAACCGCACAGGTCCGTCAACAGCGGTGCAACCCCTGCCCGCCATGCAACAGTGAGCCCGCCCGCCATCCCGGCGCCCGCAGCGCCCGCCAGAGGCCCCGCCGCTGGCGCCGGTTGGGGCGGCGCTGCCGCCGCCGCCTCCGCCGCGCGCAGCCATATGGCTGACACTTCGTCGGCGGCCGCCGGTGGCAGCGCCGGGAGAGGTTGGTACGCCGCCAGCCGCCGCGGCCCCAGCATCAGCGCGACGCCGACCGCGCCGCGCCGGCGGAGCGGCGGCAGCGTGGCGGACAGCCGGAAGCTTCCCGCGCCGCCGGGGGCGGCGGCGACGGCGACGGCGGCGCCGCCGCCGCCGTCGTCGCCGGCAGCTGGGGCGGCGGCGCCTGTGGGTCTGGCGGCCGCTTGGGGCAGCGGGGGCTCTAGGGTGCAGGTCGAGTCAAGCAGGACGGGCCCGCCCTGCTCGTACACGATGAGTCGCGTCGAGAGGGGCCAGCCGGCTTCAGCGTCGGCGTCGGCGTCAGCAGGGGCGTTGGCGGGGGCCGGGGCGGTGGGCGCCTTGTTGGCGCCGGCGGGGATGGAACCGGCGCCGGGTGCGAGCGCTATGTGGAGCGTCAGGGCCTGCCGGCCGCGGCCGACCGACAGGGCGGGAGGGTGGCAGCCCAGCAGCTTCACGGCAGGCGCGCCCGCGCCCGCGCCCGCGCCGCACGCCGGCAGTGGTGCGGCAGCTGCTGGCGGGGCGTCGGGTGCGGCGGGCGTGGTGGGTGCGGCGGGGACGCGCGCCGAGGACGCGCCAACGGAGACGTCTGCAGCGTGGACGGCGCCGCCGCCCAGCACCTTTGCGCTGACTCGCTCGGCCAGCGGACGCAGCAGCGCCTCGTCTCCGCCGGCGGCGGCGCCGAGCTCTGGCAGACCGCAGCTGCCACGATCTATGTCAGACCGGATTGTGTAGACGCCGCCGACGAGCTACGAATGTTGGAGGAAGCCGAGGTTTCCGGCAGCAACGAGCGACGGGCGGGACGATGAGGCGTGTCAGTCAGGCCCGAGGTTGTAGCCGTTGCGGGCGGCGTGCACAAGCACGGGGGTCGACAGAGGGGGGGCCGGCACCTGGCCGCAGATCTGGATCCAGATCTCGCCCAGATCTTGGTGCCCACTCACTGAGATCACTGAGATCATCATGACACGCTCTTGTGCGTGCCGCGAAGCTCATCGCCTTGCTCCGGGCCGGCTCGTGCGCCCGCTGCGATGGAACGCAGCAGGCACACCGAGGTGTGCATGCACCCGACCCGACACCCCCCGCTCCGCCGGGCGAGCACACCCACCTGCACGCAGCCAGCCACGCAGGCGGCGGATGCGAAGCGCGCGGCGCGGGGCAGGCCCGGGCCGCAAGACGCTTCCAAGGCATCAATAAGAAGGGCGGCGATTGGGTCGAAGGTCGCAGAGTCGTGGGTTTGAGTGTGGGCCTGCGGGTGACACCGCGGGTGACACCCGGGGGCAGGGGTGGGATGGGGGGATGGCGGTGCGCGGCGGGATTACGGCCCGAGGCTGGGCGTGTTGCTGGGACGATTGACAATGTTCGCAATTGAGAGGAGGGCGGGCACCCTCACGGCTGGCTGCCAGGTCGCAAACAGCATCATGCAGGAGCCTCGGGTGGCGCAAACACGCAGCCCGAAACGCGGCTGCGAGCCGGAAGCCACAGGCAAGCCTTCGTGCCGTTCGCGTGGTTCTGAACCATCCACCATTCACCATCCAACATTCGCCATCCACCAACCACCATTCACCTTAATGCCGACCGGCGTGAGGGTGCTGCCAGGGGTGTAGGGTGTGTAGATCGACGCCGCCCGCGCCAGCGCCGCGCCCGCCACCGCCGCCGCAGCCGTGGCTGGCCGCGGCGGCGCCGGCGGGGCATCCCCGCGCAGCAGGCGCACAAACTCGTCCGCCGCTGACGGCGCGGCGACGGCGCAGCAGCGCAGCGCCTCCGCGGCCGGCGGCGCCGGGGCCCACGGCGCGGGGGCGCAGATAGGCGGTCCGGCGC